GCGCTGATTAAATCTAACAATCGCTTACAAGTTATCATATCATCCAAAACTGTGCAAATTATACTTTGTTCTCAAATTGTTAATGTTAACAACGTAAGCAAGCATTGCGTGACTACATGTAATGTCCTTCCGATATGTATCCTTGTTTTCGCAAGGGTCCGGTTGCAGTCTCTTTTTTTCTGTAGCCACTCCGAAGTCCGAACAAAGTCTTGCATTTTGTCAGCGGGTCACGGGTGAGCCTCCAGTTGTCACTGGTGTTTGTCGTTTGAACCTTTCTGGATCCGCCATCAAATTGATAAGTTTAATTATATCAAGTGCAGTGAGAAAAGGCTATAAATCTCCACCTCCAGCATCCTCACATGCAATATAGCCTACTAGCCGAGACTCTTCTTTATGTGTACAGATGTGACGTAATGACTCAATATAGCCTACTAGCTGAGACTCTTCTTTATGTGTACAGATGTGACGTAATGACTCAATATAGCCTACTAGCCCGAGACTCCTTCTTTATGTGTACAGATGTGACGTAATGACTCAATATAGCCTACTAGCCGAGACTCTTCTTTATGTGTACAGATGTGACGTAATGACTCAATATAGCCTACTAGCCCGAGACTCCTTCTTTATGTGTACAGTTGTGACGTAATGACTCATAGCCTACTAGCCGAGACTCTTCTTTATGTGTACAGATGTGACGTAATGACTCAATATAGCCTACTAGCCCGAGACTCCTTCTTTATGTGTACAGATGTGACATGCATAATGTAATGCATACATATGTAATGATGCAAAGACATGCTTGAATCTCCCGCGGAAATCCACCAGTACCATTGGAATTAAAAACATTATTACAAGCTTACCGCTTTGAATCGAGCTAAGGCAAGCAGATAGTTTTGAACACTGGCTGGTTATGTATTTTCTCAAATATGTATTTTGGATCATTTTTAACCCCAAAAAAGCTACGGACTGCAGCTTTAAAGAATCATATTTATATTTATTGCCCAATTATGGTGGAATTTGGCTTCCATAGGACAGCCAATAAGTATCAAATGATTTTTGGGCTTTTTAATTTTAAGTTTTAAAAAAAAAAATGTTTTTACTTTTCATGACTTAGATCGAATGAGATGTCTGTCTACATCACTGTTTTGATATGCAGTATAATGACACAATTAAAATAGTTTGTTCTTCTAACACTCACTTTAACTAAACTAAAATGGATTCTTTCTCCATCTCATAACATCCACAAGCAGCAGAAGGAATGTTGCTGAGAGCAAAAAGATCGCTTTAGCGTACAGTCCTCACTGTTAATTTCGTTTGATGTGTAATGTGAAAAATATCGTTTTGATCATTTCGCCTCGCCTTGATGACGTCACCGCTACCGCCATCACACAGCGTTTGAGTCTTCTGATGTGAGGTAAGCAGTTCACGGTGCCTCGTATATTTATACAACTATAAAAACACAGCTTGTTAAAGCAACATTTTACAGGGTCTTTTCTGTTTTGTATATTCATCTGCTACAGAGCTATTTGTGCGTCTTTTCTGGCGTCTGCTGACTGACTGACAAAAACATTTAGCCTAGCAGGATGTGATAAGAATGTTAAATTAATAAGTAGATACGATTATTGTGTGTTTTGTATGTTCGCCTGTATGATTGTTTCGATGTTTGGAGCAGTAATGGTATTTACTGATATGTCACTTGTTCAAAAGTCAAAGTATGATCAAGGATAATTCACAGTAATCGATCTCGATTTATCTTTTGTTTGTGGGTTAACGTTAGTCTATTTTGAACATTAATATTTCTGACATGAAGAGTCGTTTTAACGGCTTTAATTTAAATCCATCACAAGAGGTACATACATCTGAATATGTATATAAATGTGAAGAAAGCTTGACAATATGGTTTTGTGCGTGTGCATGTATTAAAAGAGCCGTTTCTGCCCCTAGAAAAAAAACCCAACATGTTTATAATATTTTTTATGACAGTATGCAATGACTGTAGTTGTAAATTGAACTATTTAGTTTCACATGGACTTATGCTGCTGTCCGGAATTTATTATAACTGGTAAATTAAATAATATCCCTGATAAGACTTAATAAGAGGGAGTCACAATTAACAGCTGCTCAAAATCCTCTTCATGTCAAAAATAGATAATACTGTTAAAGGAAAATGCCGATTTTTTGGGACTTTAGCTTATTCACCTTATCCCCCAGAGTTAGATAAGTCCATACCCTTTTCATCTCCGTCTGTGCTGTAACTCTGTCTGACGCACCCACCGCTAGCCTAGCTTAGCACAAAGACTGGAAGTAAATGGCTCCAGCTAGCATACTGCTCCTAATAAGTGACAAAATAACGCCAACATTTTCCTATTTAATATGATGTGAGTTGTATAGTCGGTTTCTGTTTTGAAGTCCATAAAGTGCATCCATCCATGATTAAAGTGCTCTACGCGGCTCCGGGGGTTAATAAAGGCCTTCTGAAGTGAAACGATGCATTCGTGTAAGAAAAATATCCACATTTAAAATTTGATCAACTAAAATAACTAGCTTCTGGCAGACAAACTACGCAAGTGGACTTACGCCAAAAGAGTAACACTTGATGATGTATGATGTGGGATGTAGATGTACTCGCGGTTCAAACAAACAGGGCTGTGCAACAAACCCAAACTCTGACATTTCTCTTTAAAAATTCTCATTTTAGACTTCTAATTTTTAAATAGTGTTTTGTTTTGCTATCCTCTGCATTACCGCGTTCGTCCATGCGTCAGGTCAAGGCTCACTCTTTCGCCGTAAATTGATGCGTACGGCCGTCTGCCGGAAGCTAGTTATTTTAGTCGATAAAGTTTTAAATATGGATATTTTTCTTACACAAATGCATCATTTCACTTCAGAAGGCCTTTATTAACCCCCCAGAAACGAGTGGATTACTTTTATCATGGATAGATGCACTTATATGGACTTCATAACAGAAACCGGCCATTCACTGCCACTATAAAGCTTGGAAGTGCCAGGACATTTGTTTGAGATGTCACGGATATGTCATACCTAGGATGGCTTGAGGGTGAGTAGCCTAAATCATGGGTTAATTTTCATGTTTTAAATCTAATTCATATGTTTTAAATCTAATTCACTTTTTTTTTTTACACAGTCAGTGCATACAGTCAAAAAAGTAGATAATTAACTTATTTCAGTTTTTTTCTAGGCACATAAACATCTCTTTCAATAAAATGAAAGTGCACGACAGTAATATTTTAATGTTTCAAATGTCATGCTTCCTTCTACTATTTATCTACATACTCAGATTCATGTACCTCTTGTGATGGATTAACAGCTGCTGAAAAGTCTCTTCATATAAGAAATGGATAATAATGTTAAAAAATAGATTGACCCACAGTAGGGATGGGACGATTACCGGTTTCACGATAAACCACGATAAAATGTACTGACGGTTTTATCGTTTAAAATTTAATTATCATTAAAACCGTGTTTGATTATCGCGATTTTAATAACTCACTATAAATCCTGTCCAGCCGGCAACAGTCTGACGCAGGCGCAGCGCGCAATGTTTTGTTTTGACTCGAGAAGGAATGGCGGAAGGCAGTGACCGTGCTCGGGAGATTTTCCAGCCTTTTAAGAGGACCAAATCTGAGGTGTGGTCCTATTTTGGCTTTTACAAAAGTCCTGAGGGAAACTTGATCGAGGATTGTCACCCTGTCTGCCGAACAAAAAGTCGCTGCAATAGAAACACTTCAAATCTTCCGAGTCGTCTTGTGTGACCATCACCCACTGTTGTATAGCGAACGCACGGCAAGTTAACTTTGACCTCAATACCAAAACTACGTCTGGGAAATAATAATTGGGCACAAAATGTTGACTAGCTTTCGTGAGGCACACTCGCAAGGTCTCTCGCTCTCTGCCGTGCTCGCGCTATGTATGTTATGCGCGCAGTATGTTCTGTCTCGCATGCGCGCTCTAGATTCCGGCAGATCTGAACTAATTTGCGGGCATCAGGGAGACGCAGGAGACTCCCGGGAGACTTGGGATGTATGCAATGGCCACAGACAATGTGAGGAAGTGGTGGGGGAAGTGACGTATCCCGTAAAGCAGTCGAATTTTGTATTTCTTTTTGTGCACGGGTTCCTACCCGAAACCCGAAGTTACATAGTGCCAGTAAAAGCGATACAGACCACGTCAGGCTATGGCAGACGTGTCATTTAACTTATTTTAAGTCGATGTACCATCACAAGGGTCTTGGAAATATATTATGAAGGTTGAAAAACTACATAGTGTTACTTTAAGGGATAGTAATGTACAGATTCATTGTACACTGATTACACCGATTTTTTTTTTATCACATAATTACGTGGACATATTGAATTGAGATTAATGTGTTAAATCTTGCCTGTTTATAAATCCATTTTGTACAGCGTACAAAACAATCGTCCAGTCAAGATGATCACAACAATATTATCAAACTCTGTAAACAATAAATCAACTCTGATTTCATTTTCAATACAATCAAAAACGGAGACGCAAGACGGCAAGTTGTATTATTTGAATGAAACAAGAGCGCGCTTAGATGCATAAGATGTGCGTTGTGTAATAATGCGTTGCTATTGATGACGGGCATTATAAAGAAGGAAATGGCACAGAATAGAATCTTGCTTAAACTGCATAGAGCTGCTTATTTATTTGTTGTTTGTTGATTTTCAAATATAAAACTTGTTGAAATGTTTTCAGTGTGAGCATCAGTTCTTTTTGAACACTTTCATCTCATTTTAACAAAACCGTGATAATATTGATAATCACGATAATTTTGGACACTTTAATCGTGATATGAAATTTTCATGCCGTCCCATCCCTAACCCACAGACAAAATATATGTGTAAAATATGTGAATTTGTGAACTAATTAAATATGTAAAGTTTGATACTTGGATAGATAAACACTAACAACATGCTTTAAGGCTGTGAATTTTTGAAAGCATTAATTTGATAACTGATTTATTTTTGCTTTTTGATCAGCTCCTCCTACCACAGTAATTCACCTTCAGTGAAGTTTCTTCCACAGTAGTTCACCAGTAAATGCTGGAATATCCCCATCAGTCTACAAGTGAAGAACAGAGTTTGCGAAAGAATATTGAAAACATGAATGATCCAGAACTCTGCAGAATAAAGCTGGAAGATACTGAAGAACAAAGAGCTGATCCAGAACCCTGCAGAATAAAGCAGGAAGATACTGAAGAACTTAGAGCTGATCCAGAACCCTGCAGAATAAAGCAGGAAGACACTGAAGAACAAAGAGCTGATCTAGAACCCTGCAGAATAAAGCTGGAAGATACTGAAGAACAAAGAGGTTGGTGTTTATTCTTGATTCTTTATTAAGTTTATAAAACATATCGTGCAGTTCCACCCCCTGACACTAACGTAAAACCAGACTTAAAGAGCAACGTGCAGGTTGGAGACCCCTATATAGCATAGTGCAGAGGTGGAAAGAGTAATAAAATATTCTACTTAAGTAAAAGTACTACTACTTCAATGAAATTTTACTTAAGTACAAGTAAAAGTACCGGTCTAAAAATCTACTCAAGTAAAAGTAAAAAGTAGCTCATTTAAAATTTACTCAGAGTAAAAGTTACTGAGTTACTTTTTTAACAGCGGGGGTGGGGGACTCTCCCGTGTAGGCTTGTAATGGTATGAGATTTTCACAGTATGATAACGTCTCAGAAAATATCACGGTTTACAGTATTAATCAATTATTAAATAAATAAACTGTATTATTAAATTATGGGTATTATTATTATTATCATCAGTTAAAATGACAGTTAAATTAAAGGGTCACTTCAGGATTTAGCATTAAGCTTTGTATCAGTAGAAAACCTGTAGTATTTTCGAATTTTCCATTCATTGTTTACATCAGGGGTTCTCAAAGTTTTGATAGGTGAGGGCCAATTTAGGAACCCAACATTGAACTGAGGGCCGCCAAAGTGGCGGGGGAGAAAACGAAGAAAAAAAAAAACTGAAAAGAAAATCCCATTTGAAATTATTTTAATGACCAGGTTGCATCTCTACAGTTTACATTAGTTGCAATAAACACATTTTAATTCATAACTGAGGCTAAACCTGGCAAAACTTGTGAACATTTTTGGGGGGAGAGAAAGAAACTTTTAAAATAGAAGCTTACCAAACAAGTCATCATCATCATTCATTTCTATCATTGCTTGTCAGTCGCGTTTCCATTATTGCAGATTTGCATATTATTATCTATCTTTTTTAACCCGTAACTGAAAAACGAAAAATGAACGTTTGTTGTCTTTTTAAAACGCAAAGTTGAACAAAATTTTAATTTGAACTGGCTTCACCAACTGCTGCGCAAAAAAAGTAAATATCGACAGACTTTTTCAGATTTTTGTTTAAATGACTTCTTGCCCCTTTATTAAACATTTTAAATATTCACAAATTAATATGGAAAACATGTCGATTTTACTGGTTTTCTAAGGCCAAATTAGAACCTGGAATTGAAATTTTTCCCGCAGTGATGAATGAGAAGAGCCATATAGCCTGTACGTGTCTGATCTAGCCTGATTTATAGGTGAGTTATAGGCTAATGATAATAAATGCGTCTGAAAAAACAGCGAGGCATTTTAATTGTTTATTAATAAACTATTGTTTTCTAAGTGTCGGCTAAAAACATATCTCCATCTCCGCTGTTAAGCAGATGCGCTTTTAGAGAGAAATCCACCTTTCATACGGATTACATAATCAGGTATTTGCTTTCGATTCGAGTTTGTTTGTTTAAAAGTGCACATTTTAAGCTTTAGCCTACATAGGCTATATTTTGTTTCAGTTCTCGCGCTCCAGTTCACGGAGATCATGAAAGCGCGTAGTAGCCTAGGCTAGGCCTACTGATTGTTTTATTTTATTTTACAAAAGCACGTTTTCTTGTTATGAGTTTACACAAATAAAAGTAGTTGCGAATAATGCATTATTATTTTCTGTATGACCAGAAATGATAGACTAGTTTAAGTTGTTTCCACTGTTGATAGGAAAATGCAAGTGTTCGCGCCCGCGAACATTTTGAAAGGTAATGGAAACGCGGCTATTAATAAGCTTGACATTGTTAAGATTATTATTAAGTCACATTGAATATTGATTACTTGGTCAACATACCCTTTTAAATTGCAATGGGATTTGTGGTGCTGGTTTCGGTTGGCCACGATTCCTATTCCTGTGTAGACAACCACTGTTCCTGGTGGCCTTGGGAGTGAGGTCAAGTGCGATCGGTCGGTCGGACCATGTAATTACCGCTTATGCCTATAGATGCCGCTAAACACCACTAAACGGAGATATTCATTTTTTCAAAGCAATAGTTTTAACAGTTTTACAGATGTTATCGCGGGCCGCCAGAAAGGTTTCGGCGGGCCGCCATTGGCCCGCGGGCCGCACTTTGAGAACCTATGGTTTACATGCACACCTTTTGTTTTAATCTAACTGAATTCATTCCGATTGGTGAATCTGAATGTAGTGTTTACATGAACGCTAAACATGTGATCGGTTCGTGTGTTTTGACATTGCTGAGAAAATTCCCGCTCCTCCGTGAGGGCCACGTTCTCCCGCGGCCCTCACTCGTCCTGCTCGCCAAAGTAAACATAATGAACGGCGACTGTAGAACGCAAAAGCCGAATCCCGGACATTTTGGGCAATCTCGAAATCCCGGGCAGACCGTCACGGAGACTCACTAGCCTAGACTTGTTGTTTAACTACTGCGCTCTGTTACCGGTAGGCATGGCCTCCTAGGGCAGCGAAGCAATTGCATTCTGGGAGTTGTTGTCTTTCATCCACATAAGCCAAAAATACATTTTCTGGCTTTTCTCAGTCTAGAAAGCTCCAAATTAAAAAATAATTTCACATTTCTTCAACATAAATGACCCATTTTACATACACATTCATCTTCCCAGAGGTGAAGTGCCCCTTTAATGAAAACAGGATTTTTTTTTGGTTGAACAAATGCTTTTATTATAACAAACTTGAAACCATTTGTTTGTTTTGTTTATTCAAATTTCAATAAAACATGTCTAATCAATTAAATTTGATAATTAATAATGAATTAGATTAACAACTTAATTTTAACATTAATAATTTATTAAAATGTTTAAGAAAAATATTGTCCTATGAAATTTTATTCAGAAAATTAATGTTTCTTTTTATGATTTAATCCAAATATATTATCAAAAACGGTTGTAATCAAATGTAAATTTAAAATTATGTCCTTTTATTTTTTGGGGAAGCGCTGCGAAAACAGATTTACTAAATTAAACCATGGACAAAAAATATATTCCTTTAAATAATGTTTAAATAAAATGTGTTATTATTGTTGTTATTATTATTATTTAGAGAAGTAGGCTACGTTATATTGTATCCCTATAATAGTAATATATTTCTGTCCTAATTTCTCCTTGTAAAACCAAACTTTTATTTTGACGGGTTGTAGTGAAGACCAAAAGTGTAAAAAAAAAGTGTTTCAAAGTGTATTTGACAATGGTTTATCTCAAATAAAATTATGAAAATGCTCATTTAGGCGTTCTCTCAGAGCAGCTCTGGAAATGTTCATGTATTCATATCCTCAAATTGTTTGTGAGACTCTGAATGTCACGCGTACTTGAGTATGTAGTAGACAAAGTGGCGCAGCTCAGCAGAACAAATAGGGTTATATTTACATGCAGTATTTGTGCTTAGCTTAAATATTCACAGACCATGTCGCGATTGGATTTATTGCACAGTTCTACTTTCCATGTATTCATCCATCCATTATTTTGCGTGTTTTACGTGACATCTGCGTTAAGTGAAATTAATTTTCATGACTGGATTCGGGGTTCCCTCTGCATCACGTACATCGGGACATACCTTTATCTGCAGGAGGGATGGTGTCCTATATCCTCCTTTTGCAGCCACTTTGCGTCCACATTTCTTGCAAATTGGATATCTATCCTCGAGGACAACCACGCTTTTTTTCTACAAAGTATTTTCATACTGGGCTGGCCATTCGCTTGGCGCTTCGGTTTCAGCTTCAGCTGGGTCTGCGTCACCTTTTTTGCGCGTTTGTTCTCCCGCCCTTCAATCAATGCAGTAGGTTTCCAGAGTGTGGTTTTTTTTTTTTCTTGTATTATTATTTTTTACTCAGTACCGGATATGATTTCAAATGTAGCGAAGTACAATACTTCAAAGAAAACGTACTTAAGTAAAAGTAAAAGTACAGATTTTAAAAACTACTTAAAGTAGAAGTACACAAAAAAACTACTCAATTACGTAACGCGAGTAAATGTAATTCGTTACTTTCCACCTCTGGCATAGTGTATGTTGATGATAAAACAACTAGATTTTCTGAACTGGAGTAATATATATTTAGCCATTAACGATATTTTGAGATAAATTGTGATAAAATAACTTCCGCGTCTATAAAGCACTAACCGGAAGTGACGATGGGCGAGGGAGTCTGGTCAAGTTCAAGCTCAGGTTACAATGGATGTGAATGAAGAAACCGAGTTCTCCGATGTAGACGAGCATGCCTATGGCCCACAGGTAGGGATGGGGCCGATACGATCCAGTATCGGGACCGGGACCGATACCAGCGTAATTCATGTATCGGATTTTCCCGATCCAACCTGCGGAGATATCCGATATCCTGCTGAAATGACTCCAAAAGTGATTCCCGCCGGCTAGTCTGCTAGCTGGCTGCAAACTGAGGAATGGATTTCCTGAACGGAGGAGCGGCTCAATGAGACACAGAGACCCCCCCTCAGGAAATCCATTCCGCAGTTTGCAGCCAGCAAGCAGGATAACATGTTCGCTGTGTGTAAATACTTCACACCGCAGAGCAAGACAGCAAAATGCAATGTTTGCGAAGCCGTATTAATTAAACCATCTGTCTGTGATGCAAAAAATCTCCAGGTCTATAATTCTCCGGAGTGAAATGTGCGCTACAAACGACCGAGTGTGTGGTGACAGACGCGGCAGTGAAGTCTGCTCTCTTCACCTGCACAAAACGCACCCAAGAACGAAAAGCCTTGTTTTTCCTAGAAGGAAAATGATGGACACGTTATCCTGACAGACCGGAATTCGTGCAACCAGCACAAACACAATAATTTACCATTATGGCATCTCTAAAACTCGATCTAAAACTTTCTCTGTCTCTCACTACCGCTCTTACTACAGCTGAACGCGAGCTTTTATTTGCCTCGGCCTACGTCATATGACGCGTTGCTAGCGGGAAAGGCGTATTCCAGAGCCTAGCACATTTTCATCAAAATTTCTACATCAAATGAGATTTCATTAGTAATTTCTACATATGTGTTTTTAAAAGACCTCTTCAGACAATGTCAAGTATTAATTCAGTTATAAATTCAACCTGCACGTTGCTCTTTAATTCGCCCCAATGGAAAGCATTTGTACACTGTCTGAATCGTCCCCTATCCCCTATATAGTGCACTATGTACCATTCACCATATAAAAAATAGTAATTGTGTGAACAAATGACCAATTTCAGCCGCAACTTCAGCGTCTATTTATAGTGTAGGGGGCGGGACACTTTCTATTCTAGAGAGCATTTGATTGGACAAGAAATCAGATGAGAAACTAAAGTGCAGATTGATGTCATCAAAATCGTTCACCCTTATTGGCGGAAGTGAGAGACTGTAAGTTTTAATCTAAATCAATCAATCAAACTTTATTTATAAAGCACTTTAAAACAACCGGATCAAAGTGCTGTGTAGAAAAATAAATAAAAGACATAAAATACATACTTTATATGACCTCCTGCGACCTGGCATCTACATACTGTACGTGGACATCACATTTTTGGTTGTGTGCACCATAATACTTGATTCTGTGTAAGTGGAACCTGTTGTACACAAACGTGGACACTTACACTGCCATCTGGTGATGTCAGAAGAGAAAACACTTTAAATAGAAATTTCAAGATGGCGGAGAACACATCTGAAAAGTCAGGCAGCCACACCAGACCAAAACGTCCACAAGGTAAAAAAAATCTAATAAAATTTCATTGTTGATTCTTAAGTTATGCATAATAGTGTCGTATGATTAATATGGCATGAAAATTTGACAAATGTTTGTAACAGTAAAGATTTACAATGCCGCTAAACTTGAGGTCCACTAATCTTTAACATTACTCTAAAAATGTTAGCAAAAAATGTTACTGTGAAAACGTAGTTTGGGAAGAATTTGTTTGAAAACATCAATTTACAATAGTTTACAACAGTATAAATTGCTATTGCATGTGTGATAAATAACTTTTTTTTTTTATTTATTTTTTTTTATGATATCATTTCCAGAGCGTATTCCAATGTCAAAGGCACTGGAATAGTACTGGAGTCAATTGCCGGGGACAACTCCGAGGTAGAGGACTTGTCTGACAATGATAACCCCGTAGAGGATTTCGATTACCATCCTCCACAAAAGGGGCCAAGCAGCAGTGAGGAGGAGAGTAGAGGTGATGAAGACCCCACTTCACAGTCCACTGAGGCCAGCCTGGGACGTAAACGTCTCCGTGGTGAAACTTATGGTTATCGTTCAGACCGTAGCATTGCCATTTTGCACACTCCCAGACATGGGACTAAGCGGGTTGAGTCTGATGGCTCAAACGATGATCCTGAAGAGCCAACACCAGGACCAAGCTTTCAAGGACAACCCAAGCAAGGACGAGGAGTGCACTGGAAGGCTGCTCAATTGACCCCAAACCAAGCCCAGTTTGAGCCTGAGAAGGAAACTGAGCAGGACAGAGAAGGCTGGGCCACACTGGACTATGTCAACCAGTATATTGATAAAGATTTAATGAAACTGATTGTATACTGCTCCAATGCTACAACACTAGCTAGGAGTGGGTACGCACTCAGCACATCAGTTGACGAGATATACATTTTTTGGTGCCTCAATTTTGATGTCTTGTGTCTAGGGGTGTAACGATATTCGAACCGAACCGAAAAACCGCGATACAGAACACACGATTCGAATCGCGATACTCTCATTGCGTACCGAACACGCCCCTCCCCGCCCCCTGCTACCCCGGCCCCGCCCAGCCCGGCTCAATGGACCTCATGTCTTGTGTACAGTACACAACAAATTCAGTTTTGTAGCCTAATAACCACCATTAACACCAAATAACAAGCTCCGTGTTTTGGTAAATGGTAAATGGACTGCATTTATATAGCGCTTTTCACAGACCGAATGGCCACCAAAGCGCTTTACAATTTGCCTCACATTCACCCATTCACTCACTCATTCATACACCGACGGGCGACGGCAGCCATGCAAGGCGCCATCCAGCTCGTCGGGAGCAGCTGGGGTTAGGTGTCTTGCTCATGGACACCTCGACACTTGGTCAGGTGGTACCGAGGATTGAACCACCAACCTTCCGGTTTTGTTACTTTCGATAATAAGCAAGGTGTAATCTTTCAAATTCTGTCTATTTGATCACGAAATTCAAACAATAAATGGCGTTTTGGCGCTCTTTGATGTGGCGTGACAGATCGCTGTATGCCTACTAAGCTCCTCATTTCAAACGGCAGCGTGGCGCGCGGGTAAACGCGATCATCTCTTCCTCAGTTACAGAATGGACACCTGAAGGTATGTTGAAAGATGCAGTATACTTACTGAAAGGCATCATAACTCGTGTAATCGCTCAATCGGTGTTTCAGCAGCGGAAAGACGTCAATAAAACAGCATAGCTTGTCACTAGCATTATATTTACCTCAACAGGCAAGTGATTCAGTGTCCACAACTTTGGTTCCTATAAATGAACTCTTGCACTAAATAAATGCACCATGTTAGCCTATATATTATATTTTACTTAACCTGTTAATGATATCTTGATTATTTAATGTATGTTTAAAATATCTTTCATGAAAATGAAAACTGTGTAAATTATTATATTTCAATAACAAATTAGAGTAAAAACACAAGTTAATGCAAAAACTGCCTTATGTTCAGTTTACATGTTTTCATACAATGTGTTGTGTGTTGATTATTATATCTAAAAAATAAATAGCATCTGAATTTAGGTTAAAAGTCTAGGCTACAACCTTTAATGTTATAGTAATGTGCGGCTCCCTATATAGTTTACAGATTTAGCAGATTTTTTTTAATCCTTGTGAAACGTTTAATTGTAATTGAATTAATTTAAAGAAAGACCATTTTTTCGTTAAACCACTGTTTAAAAAAAAGAAGCAATTTTAGCTTTCTAAACCGAACCGAACCGAGACGTCAAAACCGTGGTAAAACCGAACGGTCAATTTTGTGTATCGTTACACCCCTACTTGTGTCCCTTACCCACAGATCAGGATGTACTGGTCCAGCGCGTTAAGATTCCCAGCCATCACAGAAAGATTCAAACTCGTCAGATTTTACAAACTGAGGCAATCAATAAAGGTGGTCATTGATGATGACATTCCAGAAGACCTGAGGGAATGTGACAAATTCTGGAAGGTGAGGTATTTTCTTGACCGCATTCTGAAAGGCTGTAGGTCTCAGACAAGACCCAAGAGCGTTTCTATTCAAATTATACCATTTACAGGAGCCTGTCCTTGTGGACAATATCTGCCAATGAAGCCCCAATCCAGTTGGCATGAAAAACTATGTTTGTGCTTGACTTTGAATTATATCAGGGTGCAGATGCACTGATTGCACAGGTCCAGGAACCAGGTGAACTGGGTTTGGGAGGTTTGGTCATTGATCGTCTGTCTGAAACTCTCCATCCTGGTACAAATGTGTATTGCGATTGGTTCTTTACATCCATCAAAGCTGTGAATCGAATTATGGAGAAGCAGGTGTAGCTGACTGGTACAATTATTGAAGAATCGGGTTTCCGAAGCAGTGCAGAAGCTACCAAGTGACAAAACAATGAAAAATAATGGAAGAGGTATCTCAGCACAAGTTACCACTGAAGATGGGAAAATTTGTGTTGTAGAGTGGTATGACAACAAGCCAGTATTGATGCTGTCTGTTGTCCATGATGCACAGCCTGAAGACACCTGCCAGCGATGGGACAAGAAACAGAAACATGATGTGTCTATCAGACGACCAAGTATTGTTTGTGAATATAACAACAAGATGGGTGGGGTTGACCTCACAGACTGGATGATCAGCTACTATAGAATGAGTGTCTGTACCAAGAAGTGGACGCTTCGGATGCTCATGCACTTTAGATGTTGCTTTAGCCAACAGCTGGCTACTGTACCGCCACGACCACACAGTACACGGCACACCAAGAAAGGGCATCATGCAATTTCTTGAATTCCGAATGGAAGTGTCTAAGACATTCTTGGCCCAGTATAACAATGCACAGGAAGACAGTACAGACCTCTCAGAACAGGAAGACAACACAGACCATTCAGAGCCAGAGAAAAAGCGCCCTGTGAAGGAAGTGCCCCACATCTCAGTCTGCAGAAGAGCTAATGCACATCTTCCAGAGGTGGTCAACCTCAAGAATGCACCGTGCTGCAGAGCGACAGGCTGTTCTGGGAAAACTCGAGTCCGATGTGTTACATGCAAAGTGTTCTTGTGCTTGCAAGCTGAACGCAACTGTTACACAGTCTTTCACAGGGGTTAAATGTGATCAACTGTTCCCACAAACAAAAAGGACATTACTAGTTTGGGGTATTTAAAGTTTTGGGCTGTTCTTGGAAAACTTGAGTCCGATTTGTAACATGCAAGGTGTTCTTGTGCTTGCAAGCTGCACGCAACTGTTATACAGTCTTTCACAGCAGTTAAGTGTGATCTACTGTTCCCACAGACAAAAAGGACATTCCTAGTTTGGAGAAGTTGAAGTTTTGGAGTGTTACAAAAAAGCATAAACGAAACAAGCTAGTTGTCAAGGTTTTTTGGATATGATAGCTTGTTTCTTATAAATTTAGTTTTTCCATATCCATGTTCAGAAATTGAAACAGTTATTTATGCAACAGTAACAATGAAAAATGTTCAGGCACAGAGCTCAGGCTGTAAATAAAAGAGATTTGCACTTTGTTACTCAATGGTGTCTTGATTGTTTTCTGTGGATACAGACAGAGTGTCCACATATGTGGACATGTTTTTTTGTTTTTTTTAAAGAGCTTCATGTTCAAAGATCATATCTGGTTATTATATTTTTTGGTTCCTTCTAACCACAAATTGCTAGAAGAAATCTAAAATGCAAGCCAAACCAAAGCTCACCAAGACAGGCATGTCGACGAAATTTTTTGTGAAATTGTCCATTCAACTGCAAGATATGAAAGACAAATCAATTCAGTATTCGCATGCTTTCTGGGGGCTTCGAATGTGTTCACAAACTGCAAGTACCAAATTGACCTCTCTATCGCGTCTTCTTGCGCTAGAATGTTTACATTGGCAAGGCTTAAAAACGTGCAAATGATAAGCTTTCACGACGATGCAGCACTGGCCCGATCGAGTCCTTATTGTGCGTTTTCTGACCAAACTTGGTGTCTGTTATGACAACCATGACCTGAGGGTCCTGCACAGTTTCGGCGCAGTTCCACCTAGTGGTCAGGATATATGAAAAATGGCTCTTTTTTCTTATAACTTCTGAACACTTAGGCCAAAAAAAAAAAAAACAGGTCTTGTTAGATTCGTTACATCATGCAGAGTTAGACGATACCCAATTTTCCTTTGTTGACAATTTGGGTGTCGGCTATTATGACTTTTGTCGTAAAATGCTATATTTTACGAATACATTGGTGTATCGTTACGAAACTAGGTATGTATCTTCGGCACCATGCCTTGACAGTACTCCAAAAGTTTCGGGGCAGCGCCACCTTGTGGTCAAAAGTTATAATGAAATTTCCAGTAATGCTAATAACTTTTGATCAAATTAGCCTATTTGAATGAAACTGGTCTCAATAGATTCCGTAGGTCAAGCCGAGAACTTAGATACCAACTTTGCCATTGTTGGACAAACTTCCTGTCCGCATTTTGATTTTCTTTAAAAACCTACTTTTTCTAACTCCTAGACCTGGGGTTTTCAAATTGGGTGAATGTGAGCCTCCCCTTACAGTGGGTTAGGACAGCCGAGCCCTGTAAATATATTTTAATATTTTATTTGAAGACATTTTATTTCCACAACTTTTTTAAAAGTGCATTCATAAACTATTCTTTGCAACAGCAAATCATTTCCAACTTTATGCAGGCCTAATTGAGGCTACTTTTAAAATCACTGAACATCAGTAGGCCTAACCACAAGTCAACAAAACATGCTTAACATGTGTAATGCAATGAGTAGCAATGTTTCGCCGATGTTATGGGGTTTGCCTGCCTTCCCTATACGTGACAGATGCTTCTGTTGCCTTCATGTTAATAGTGCCAAACAACTGTATTATGCTTTTTTGTGACTGCAAATCATCACGCTTCCTCTCAAAGAATTCAACTGGCTTGTTCACTAAATTTGTGTTCATAGTTTCAATGTGACGCTGAAGTTTGCATTGTCTCATGCTATAATTTGCTAGCACCTCCTTGCAGACCACACACTGCGGCTACGACCCCGACTACTCAGGATCATATTTCCTAAGTTTTTTGCTGGGTCCTGTCTCCTCCATTAATGCTGACTTTTGTTGACTTGGGACAAGGAAACGATGCATTTTAAAGCTAATACACGCACACACAATTGACCTATGGCTAAGCCACACCCCCAAACACGATGAGCCAATCAGTGCGCATAGCTAACCCAATACACTCGGACATTCTCTGCTTCCACGTCCATTGAAATGCATTGCAGTTAGTCAGTTTTCACCCGTTGTTATATGTTTTTTCTTGTCATTTTAAGTTTAAAATGGTCAAACGGTGTGCATGGGGTACATGCAACTCCGACACTAGGTATCCCGAGAGGCTGGGCGACGGTGTGTATTTTTTACCCTTTCCCAAACCACATCTCGAGATAAGTGTCTGCTCTGGATTAAGTTATGCGGTAACGTTAGACCACAAGACCAACTAAACGTGGATAAATTAAACAAGAATTAAACAGGGATGTCTACATCTGTTCTAAGTCAACAACGTATTTGAACTAGATTTGAACGTTATCTTTAACATCTCTCACGTAACGTTAACTTCTAGCTGCGTTGAACATCATGCTTCATTAACGTATGTAAATAACCGAGATAACAAATGTTAGCAATGTTGTGCTGAATGATTCATGTAAATAATGCAGTGCATGAACAATGCTGATCCTCTATCTTGTTGTCTGAGATGGTGATGGCAACGAGATGCGGTTTATCACGTTTACGCTGTGACCTGTAAATTTTTGCCTGGAGCTGAAGCTTATTATCGACCTTCTCAACAATAAAATGATTAATATAACCCTCCAATGCATAGTTAATACCCTTTTGGTGACTTCGAGATGATACTTCTATTTAAGATTTTATTTAACTCATTTAAGACTGTTCTTGTGAGGATACTGGACAAAACGGACATTTTAGCATAAATGTGTGGGTTATTGTTCGTTCAAGCGCGAAATAGAACTCAATATTGGCGCGTCTTTCTGTGCGTCGTGTGTGTGTGTGTGTCAGGAGGACATTCACTGACAGTGCGTTCTCTTTTGTCTTGTCGCGAATTAATGGTTTAAAAGCGTTTGCGTGAATAAGAGCATGATCATATACAAAAATGTATCGCATGCATTGCCGGAATACTTTAAGCCCTGCGATATTAATAGAGCTGCATACAGAGTTATTTTTTCTTCGCGTGTCGCGCCTCCCCTGTGGCTCTTTGGCGCCGCCCTGGGAGGTGCGCCTCACCTATTGAAAACCGCTGTCCTAGACCATTTGTCAGATTTTCACCAAATTCGAGTAAGATCATCTTCAGACTGTGCCTACAAAAGTTATGGATTTCGTGTCGATGGACAAAATAGTTTTCATATACCGCAGCAACAAATTTGAGGCATTATGATAAAACAACCCTGAGGCTGTATCTCTGCAATGCTTTGGCATATTGGCACCAAACGTTGCATGTTTCATTGTCACCTCATCTTAACCACAACACATCAATTTGGCCACAGAACCACCTATTGGTCAAAAGTGATAAACCATTAAATCAAATTACTAGTGGTTGTATTCATAATTTTGCAGCCATTTTGCATAAAATCATCTTAAACTGTATTTAATTGCTCGTTGTTGCAGTTGGTCTGATGCTCCCAGCCATGTTGGCATGATTTATTGTGTTCTTTGAGCTTGACCCCGATAATTGCTGCTTGCAGCTATATTTATATTTATGTCTGATTTACTATCTTTGCAACTATATTACTACATTTTTTAACATGTTACAACCCTGACTTCTAAAATGCAGTTAATAAAACATATCTAATAGTTCTCACTACAAAGCCTGTAATTTATGCTGGTAATGTTTTAAAAAATTATATTTGGAAGATAAATATACCAAATACAAATGAATGCATCAACATGTTCATATTTTCTACTATTATGTCAGGGTTCACATGTCCTTTCACATTTCTTTCTTTGTTTTATTTTATGATTTACTGATTTACTTTTTTAAACTTGTTTTACTTTCATTTTAGACCTGATAGAAGGGAACAAGGAGATCGAAGAACTGTTTGAAGTGGGAGAGAAACAAATCAAAACTGAAGAAAAATATTTGAGTCCCTCATTGAAAAGAAGAGACAAAATATGTTTTACTTGCCCACAGTGTGGAAAAAGTTTCCTGTACAAACAAAGTCTTGAACTTCACATGAGAATTCACACTGGAGAGAAGCCTTTCACATGTAATCAGTGTGGGAAGAGTTTTACACAAAAAGGAACCCTTAGCGAACATATGAGGATCCACACTGGAGAGAAGCCGTACGCATGTGCTCAATGTGGGAAGAATTTCACACAAAAAGGAAACCTTAACAAGCATATGAAAATCCACACTGGAGAGAAGCCGCATGCATGCGATCAGTGTGGGAAGTGTTTCAGACAAAAAGTAATCCTCAACGAACACATGAGGATCCACACTGGAGAGAAGCCGTACTCGTGTGATAAATGTGGGAAGAGTTTTGCTCAAAAAGGACACCTTAACAAACATATTAAAATCCACACTGGTGAGAAGCCGTACACGTGCGAACAGTGTGGAAAGAGTTTCACACAAAAAGTAATCCTTAATGAACATATGAGGATTCACACTGGAGAGAAGCCGTACACATGTGAACATTGCGAGAAAATTTTCACAATAAAAAGAAATCTAAATGAACACATGAAAATCCACACTGGGGAGAGGCCTTACGCATGTGATCAGTGTGATAAGAGTTTCACACAAAAAGGAACCCTAAACGAACACATGAGAATCCACACTGGAGAGAAGCCGTACACATGTGGTCAATGTGGGAAGAGTTTCACACAAAAAGGAAATCTTAACAAACATGTGAAAATCCACACTGGAGAGAAGCCGCACACATGCGATCAGTGCGGAAAGAGTTTCAGACAAAAAGTTATCCTTAACGAACACATGAGAATCCACACTGGAGAAAAGCCGTATTCATGTGCTCAATGTGGGAAGAGTTTCACACAAAAAGGAAACCTTAACAAACATGTGAAAATCCACACTGGAGAGAAGCCGTTCACATGTGATCAGTCATGGGAGAGTTTTGCACAAAAAGAAACCCTTATGGCTCACATGAAAAGCCACAATGGGAAGAAGCCGCACACATGTGATCAGTGTGGGAAGAGTTTTGCTCATAAAGCAACCCTTAATGAGCACATGAAAATCCACACTGGAGAAAAGCCGCACACATGTGATCAGTGTGGGAAGAGTTTCACGCAAAGAGGAACCCTTAAGGATCACATAAGAATCCACACTGGAGTGAAGCCATACGCATGTGATCAGTGTGGAAAGAGTTTTGCACAAAAAGGAAACCTTAATGATCACATGAAAATCCACACTGGGGAGAAGCCATACATATGTGATCAGTGTGAGAAGAGTTTTACACGAAAAGAGCACCTTAATGAACACATGAAAATCCACACGGGAGAAAAGCCACACATATGTGATCAGTGTGGGAAAAGTTTCACACAAAAAGGAACCCTTAAGGATCACATGAGAATCCACACTGGGGAGAAGCCGTACACATGTGATCAGTGTGGGAAGTGTTTCACACAAAAAGGAAATCTTAATAAACATAGGAAAATCCACACTGGAGAGAAGCCACACATATGTGATCAGTCTGGGAAGAGTTTCACACAAAAAGGAACCCTTAAGGATCACATTAGAATCCACACTGGGGAGAAGCCGTACACATGTGATCAATGTGGGAAGAGTTTCACACAAAAAGGAAACCTCAACGTACACATGAAAATCCACACTGGAGATAAGCCGTACACATGTCATCAGTGTGGGAAGAGTTTCACACATAAAGGAAATCTTAACGTACACGTGAAAAGCCACACTGGGGAGAAGCCGTACACATGTGATCAGTGTGGGAAGAGTTTTGCGCATAAGGCAACCCTTACTGAACACATTAAAATTCACACTGGGGAGAAGCCGCACATATGTGATCAGTGTGGGAAGAGTTTCACACGAAAAGAAAACCTTAATGATCACATGAGAATCCACACTGGAGTGAAACCACACACATGTGATCAATGTGGGAAGAGTTTCGCACAAAAAAGACACCTTACTGATCACATGAGAATCCACACTGGAGAGAAGCCGTATACCTGTGATCAATGTGGGAAAAGTTTCCGAAAATCAAGTGTTTATAAAGTACATCTGCTTACTCATTCTAGAGAAAGACTATATGACTGTGACCAATGCAGTAAAAGATTTTTTAGGGCAGATTTCCTGAAGGACCACCTGAAAGTTCATACAAAGGAGAAGCCTTACGTCTGTTATTTGTGTGGAAAGAGTTTTAGTCAGATGGGTGCATTAAAAATACACCAGAAAAGACACAGCGGTGTTAAGGATCATATTTGCTCTGAGTGTGGGAAAACTTTTTTTACAGATGGTGCACTGAAAGTGCACCAGACTGTTCACACTACAGAGACACCTTACAAGTGTTCATACTGTGACAAGAGATTCAAACTGTCAGTATATCTGAAAATACATGAGAGGGTCCACACTGGAGAGAAGCCATACACATGTGATCAGTGTGGGAAGAGCTTCACACTAAAAGGAAACCTTAACGAACATATGAAAATCCACTCTGGGGAGAAGCCATTCACATGTTATCAGTGTGGGAAGAGATTCACACATAAAGGAAACCTTAACGTACACATGAAAAGCCACACTGGGGAGAAGCCATACACATGTGATCAGTGTGGGAAGAGTTTTGCGCATAAAGTAACCCTTTACAAACACATGAGGTTCCACACTGGGGAGAAGCCGCACACATGTGATCAGTGCGGGAAGAGTTTCACACAAAAAGAGCATCTTAATGAACACATGAAAATCCACACTGGAGAGAAGCCGCACAAATGTGATCAATGTGGGAAGAGTTTCACACAAAAAGGAAATCTTAACGAACACATGAAAATCCACACTGGAGAGAAGCCGCACAAATGTGATCAATGTGGGAAGAGTTTCACACATAAAGGAAACCTTAACGTACACATTAAAAGACACGCCGGAGTGAAGCCATACACATGTGATCAATGTGGGAAGAGTTTCAGAAAATCAAGTGTTTTTAAAGTACATCTGTGTGCTCATTCTAGAGAAAGACTATGTAACAGTGACCAGTGCAGTAAAAACATTTTTACGGCAGATTTCCTGAAGGACCACCTGAAAATTCATACAAAGGAGAAGCCTCATGTGTGTTCATTATGTGGAAAGAGTTTTAGTGAGCCGAGTGCTTTAAAATTACACCAGAAAAGGCACAGTGGTGTGAAGGATCATGTTTGCTCGGACTGTGGCAAGACTTTTTTTACAGATAGTGAACTGAAAGTGCATCAGACAGTTCACACTAGAGTACAACCTTATAAGTGTTCTCTCTGTGATAAGAGATTCAAACGGTCAATATATCTGAAAATACATGAGAGGATCCACACTGGAGAGAAGCCGTATCACTGCCATTCATGTGGAAAGAGTTTCACTCAATTATCTTCTCTAATCTTTCATAAAAAAAAATGCATGTCTGGTAATACATTAAGTAGTTTGAGTTCTGATCCTGTACTTCCAGGTGTGATGCTGCATAGTGCAGCATCAGAGATTATTTTGATAATCGATTAATCAAAAATTATTAGAATGATTAATCAACTGCTTGATTATTTCAAAGATTAATCAGTAGGCTTTGATCACTTATTCAGCTTTTGCAATTATTTAAATTGTTGAGTTATACCCATTCTAACTAATAAATAAAACAAGGAAACTTGAAAACTTCTTTGTAATAAACTTTGAGTAAATTGAATTGACCAATCTCCTTCCGGTTTTCGGCTTCAGAAGTCATCAATAAGCCAACTGCTCAGAACTGAAAAAGAAAAAGAAAACAAGCCACGCCGCTCTCACGCCACACTATGTTCTCACGCAGTGAAAAATTGCGGACCAGAGAGGACACTGACAACGCGCTGACAGACGGGACAGACCAGGTTACTTTTGATATGAAACAAAGCCTCACCTTTCAAATTTGGTCATTTTTTTAAAGAAATTTAAACAATAAATACCGTTTTGTGGCTGTTTAATGTGTCTGACAGATCGCTGTAGAGCCTCAGGTAAAGCTGCTCGTGAACCGATCATCTCTTCCTTCTAGTTAATTTATAGCATCAAATCCTCAACCACCATCAATGTGCAGCATCCACCTGGATGATGCGACGGCAGCCATATTGCGCCAGAACGCCCACCACACACCAGCTTACTGGTGGAGAGGAGACAGAGTGATGAAGCCAATTGGTATATATACATATATATGGGGATGATTAGGAGGCCATGATAGACAGAGGCCACTGGGCAAATTTGGCCAGGATGCCGGGGTTACACCCCTACTCTTTCGAAAGACATCCTGGGATTTTGTGTGACCACAGAGAGTCAGGACCTCGGTTTAACGTCTCATCCGAAGGACGGTGCTCAATTGACAGTATAGTGTCCCCATTACTATACTGGGGCGTTAGGACCCACACAGACCACAGGATGAGCGCCCCCTGCTGGCCTCACTAACACCTCTTCCAGCAGCAACCTGGTTTTCTCAGAAGGTCTCCCAACCAGGTACTAACCAGGCTCAGCCTTGCTTAGCTTCAGTGGGCAACCAGTCTTGGGCTACAGGGTGATATGGCTGCTGGTAATAAACTAGTGCTTGAGTACCCTGGCATAAACTTTCCCGGGGAGGCTGAGAAGTATGATCCCCCCTGTAGTTGGAACATCTGTATGCCTGTATGCGTGGCATCTACTTTGTATTTATTATAAAGCAATGTTTTATGCATTTGTCCCTGTCAAATAAATCTTAAAATAAAATAACACACCCTCCGGTCCCCCTTCTTAAAAAGAGGGACCACCACCCCAGTCTGCCAGCCCAAAGGTACTGTCCCCGACCACCACGTGATGTTGCAGAGGCGTGCCAGCCAAGACAGCCCCACAACATCCAAAAACTTGAGGTACTCAGGGCGGATCTCATCCACCCCCGGTGCCTTGCCACCGAGGAGTTTCTTGACTACCTCTGTGACTTCAGCTTGGGTGATGGACGAGTCCACCTCCGAGCCCTCAGCCTCTGCTTCCTCAGTGGAAGACATGTCGGTGGGATTGAGGAGATCCTCGAAGTATCCCTTCCACCGTCCAATGACATCCCCAGTTGAGGTCAACAGCTGGCCACCTCCACTGTAAACAGTGTTGGTAGGGCACTGCTTCCCTCTCTTGAGGCGCCGGACGGTTTGCCAGAATCTCTTCGAGGCCAACCAGTAGTCCTTCTCCATGGCCTCACCGAACTCCTCCCAGGCCCGATTTTTTTGCCTCCACAACCACCCGGGCTGCGGTCTGCTTTGGCCTGCCGGTACCCGTCAGCTGCCTCAGGAGTCCCACAAACCAGCCAGGCCTGATAGGACTCCTTCTTCAGCTTGACGGCATCCCTTACTTCTGGTGTCCACCTTGGGTACGGGGATTGCCGCCTCGACAGGCACTGGAGACCTTACGGCCACGGCTCCGAGCGGCCGCGTCGACAATGGAGGTGGAGAACATGGTCCACTCGGACTCAATATCTCCAGACTCCCTCAGGGTTCCGGTTGAAGCTCCGCCGGAGGTGGAAGTTGAAGATCTCTGACAGGGGACTCGGCCAAAAGTTCCCAACAGACCCTCACAGTACGTTTGGGTCTGCAGAGTCTGTCCAGCTTCCTCCCCCGCCATCGGATCCAACTCACCACCAGGTGGTGATCAGTTGACAGCTCCGCCACTCTCTTCACTCGAGTGTCTAAGACATACGGCCGGAGGTCGGATGAAATGACCACAAAGTCGATCATCGACCTCCGGCCTAGGGTGTCCTGGTACCACGTGCACTGATGGACACCCTTGTGCTTGAACATGGTGTTCGTTATGGACAAGCTGTAACTAGCACAGAAGTCCAATAACAGAACACCACTCGGGTTCAGATCAGGGGGGCCGTTCCTCCCAATCACGCCCCTCCAGGTGTCACTATCGTTGCCCACGTGGGCGTTGAGGTCCCCCAGTAGAACGACGGAGCACTTTCCAGCACCCCTCCCCAAGACCACAAGAGGGCCGGGTACTCTGCACTGCCGTTCGGCCCATAGGCACAAACGACAGTGAGAGACCTATCCCCGACCCGAAGGCGCAGGGAAGCGACCCTCTCGTTCACCGGGGTGAACTCCAACACATGGCGGCTGAGCTGGGGGCCCGCCGCCTCTCACCATGGGCAACTCCAGAGTGGTAAAGAGTCCATCCTCTCTCAAGGAGTGTGGTTCCAGAGCCCAAGCCGTGCGTGGAGGTGATCCCGACTATCTCTAGTCGGTACCTCTCAACCTCACACACAATCTCAGGCTCCTTCCCCGCCAGCGAGGTGACGTTCCACGTCCCTAAAGCTAGTTTCCGTGTCCAGGGATCGGGTTGTCGAGGCACCCGCCTTCGACTGCTGCCCGATCCACTTTGCACCGGCCCCTTACGGTCCCTCCTGCAGGTGGTGAGCCCACGGGAGGGTGGCCCCACGTCGCTCCATTGGGCTGAGCCCGGCCGGGCCCATGGGGGAGAGGCCCGGCCACCAGGTATTCGCATACGAGCCCCAACCCCGGGCCTGGCTCCAGGGTAGGACCCCAGCTGCGCCATGCTGGGTGACGTCACGGTCCTTGTTTTAATTTCTGTCATAAAGGTTTTGTGAACCACTCTTAGTCTGACCCATCACCTAGGACCTGTTTGCCTTGGGAGACCCTACCAGGGGCATATAGCCCCGGACAACATAGCTCCTAGGATCGTTCGGGTACTCAAACCCTTCCACCACGGTTAGGAGGCAGTTCAAGGAGGGGAACACAAGAACACTTCTCTTTAAATACGAACGAGACTTTGAGTATTCTAACATAAAAACAATACCTAACATAAACTCATGCACACACACACACATTCACACAAGTTGCAGAAAGAAAGAAAGTGAGGAAAGAACGAGTTTTAAGAGAGTGAAATTATAAAGTCCCAAGTTTCTAGCAAATATGCCTGTGTAGTGTTAATGCTATAGTGTTAATTTTGACAGCAAATTTGGATTGTTTTAGTCATAGTCTTTGGACTAAAATGCCATTTAGTTTTAGTCATCAGGATTATTTTAGTTTTAGTCTAGTTTTATCCGACTAAATACAATAAAATTTGCCAGTTAGCTTTAGTCATCTGAATTGTTTTAGTTTTAGTCTAGTTTTATCCGACTATATACAATAAAATTTTAGTCGACTAAATCGACTAAAATCTAATGGGTTTAGTTAAATTCTAATTCATTAAATTAGAATTTCTCTAAAATTTCCAAACACATTATATACTCCTGGAGAAAACATCTATTAACCTGTTAATGTGGATGATTTTAAAGTTTGAACATGCAATACAGACAGATTTAACTGCAGTGACATAATTTTTTTTAAATCTTAATTATCTTAAAATTAAATGAAACCACTTTTCCTAAAGAAGAACAGTTTTCTTTTCAATGAATGATGTATGCATTCTTTATAACAACTTGCATGCATCATTCTTTATTCTTTCAAGCAGACATATTTATTTATATAAATGAAATATAATTAATCCTTATTAAAAAGCAGTGAATACTTTTCTCTTTTTCTTTTGTTGTTTGATTAATATTAAGGGCACAGACGGCATTAGGTTTATTATGCACTGTCACTTTAAGACCGATGCACTGATGCACATCCTATATTCTGTTTACGTGAAGGCAGTATTAATCCACCACTGCCCTCACAGCAACGTTAACTAGTGTTTTTGTAATTTGATGCAAAGGTAATTTAATACAAAGTATAGCCTAGTGTTATAAATGTACATACTTAAAAAAAAAAATACAAAAAAACTTTGCAGGATTTACAATGCAACAGGACAGGTTAAAACGCGTCATCACAGTCTGTGAACAGGGTCCATGGTCCACCCGGGCGATAGGTGGCGGTAATGCACCGTGTCTGCGATCCGCCATAAAACAAGAAGAAGACGTCACTCTTTTGATGTGAGGTAAGCAGTTCACTGTGCTTCGTTTGTTTATACAATTATTAAAAATAACACAGCTTGTTAAAGCAACATTTTACAGGGTCTTTTCTGTATTCTATATTCATATGCTACAGAGCTATCTTTGCGTCTTTTCTGGCGTCTGTTGACTGGCAAACATTTAGCATTGCAGGCAACTATGTGAGGAACTATAATGTTAAATTCATTAAGATCTGAGCGATTATTGTGTGTTTTTGTATGTTCGTCTGTATGATTGTTTCTATATTTGGAGCAATAATGATATTTACTAATATGTCACTTGATCAAAAGTCAAAGTATGATCTGTAAGAGGAATTAATAGGGATTGATCTCTATTTATCTTTTGTTTGTTGGTTAATCTGACACGAAGATGCTTTAAATTTCAGATCCAGATTTAATTCATATCCAACACAAGTAGTAAATCTGAGTATGTGATGAATGTGATGGAAGCTTGACATTGGAAACATTAAAATATTGCTTTGTCGCGCTTGTATTGAAATAACCGTTTCTGTCCTTAGAATAAAAATGTTTATAATCTAATTTATTTTATAATAATACGTTACATTTATATAGTGCTTTTTCTGGGACCTCAAAGCGCTTCACATATGGAAGGGGGAATCTCCTCAACCACCACCAATGTGCAGCATCCACCTGGATGATGCGACGGCAGCCATAGGGCGCCAGAACGCCCACCACACAGCAGCACTGGTGGAGAGGAGACAGTGATGAAGCCAATTAGTATATGGGGGATGATTAGGAGGCCATGATGGACACAAGCCAAGGGGCAAATTTGGCCAGGATGCCGCATGCCAGGGTTACACCCCTACTCTTTTTCGAAGGACATCCTGGGATTTTTTTGTGACCACAGAGAGTCAGGGCCTCGGTTTAACGTCTCATCCAAAGGACAGTGCTTTTTGACAGTATAGTGTCCCCATTACTATACTGGGGCGTTAGGACCCACACAGACCACAGGGTGAGCACCCCCTGCTGGCCTCACTAACACCTCTTCCAGCAGCAACCGGGTTTTTCCAGAAGGTCTCCCATCCAGGTACTAACCAGGCTCAGCCTTGCTTAGCTTCAGTGGGAAACCAGTCTTGGGCTACAGGGTGATATGGCTGCTGGCGTATGACAATATGCAGTGACTGTAGTTGTAAATTGAACTATATTTAGGTTCACATGGACATATGCCGCTGTATGGAAGTTATTATAACTGGTTAATAAAATAATCTCCTTATTAGACTTAATAAGAGGGAGTGCTACAATTAACAGCTCGTCAAAAGTCTCTTCATTTCAAAAATAGATAACAATGTTAATAGAATGACCCACTGACAAAATATAGATATGTAAAATATATAATATAATTGTTTTAAAACAAATTAAATAACTTAGTCATAAAAATATATAATTAACTTGTTGCTGCTTTTTTTTCTAAGGACAGAAACAGCTCTTTCAATAAAGTGAAAGAGTATGACAAAGCAATATTTAAATGTTTCCAATGTCATGCTTTCTTCTACTATTTATCTACATACTCAGATTAATGTACCTCTTGTGATGGATTTAAATTAACAGCTGCTGAAAACCCTCCTCATGTCAGAAATGGTTAATAATGTTAAAAATAGATTGTCCCACAGACAAAGTATAGATATGTAAAATATGCGATTTTTTTTTTAAAACAAATGAAATAACTTTAAATTTTGATAGTTGGATAGGTAAACTAACAAAATGCTTTAAGTGTGTGAATTAATGAAAGCATAAATTTTTGATAACTGATTTATTTTTGCAGATCTGCTCCTCCGACAGCGATTCACCAATAAATGCTGAAATATTTCCATCAGCCTACAAGTGAAGAAGATTGAAAACATGAATGATCCAGAACCCTGCAGAATAAAACGGGAAGATACAGAAGAACAAAGCGGTGATCCAGAGCCCTGCAGAATAAAACAGGAAGACAATGAAGAACAAAGAGGTTGGTGTTTATTCTTGATTCTTCAATAAGGTTATACATCTTAAAGGCCCACTGAGGTGCTTTGAAATGTGCAGCGTTATTCAGTGTGTTGACGTAATCTCCACTGAAACGGGAAGACAGCCTGAGACATATTGCGCAGCTCCTCCCCATTTTTTAAAAAAGCCAATAGCGTTTCGTTTATGCGTCACAGCTCGGCCAGAGCCGTTGAGCTCAGCAAAGCCGCATTTGACAGCTTATGACAGCTACAGTGTAATAGATTCCCATTTTAGATTTAATATGAAATTGTTACTAAAGCAAAATAGTTAACTTAATGATGCTGAGAATGTGTAGTTTAAAAAGTGTGTAATTTATGTTGGTGCATGACACCGGTGTTATAACCATAATTTGTTACATTTATGTCGTTTATTACGTTTGTCTCTTCTACTCGTCATTAGTCAAGTCTCTCTAACCGTTTTTTCCTACTTATCTCCTCCTAATCTCCTACTTATCACTTTAAAATACAGCATTCTGTGTAGAATTCAGTCCGATATGTTTTGTGGTCTGCGCCGACTCATGCATATGACCTGCACGCACTTTGCTATCGTGTCTCTGGACTGGTACAGACTGTGTGCGCGTTGCTGCGGTTCGCGTGACACTAACGTGAAACAAGACTTTATTTGCCCCTATAAAAAGCATATTTACACTGTCTGAATCGTTCTGTTCGTGGCATCCAATAGCCACAAAGGGGCTACGTAACGGGATGGCTCGTAACTGGCTCGCACTTGGTCGTCATTTCATTACTTAAAGGAAGACTGTCGATCTTAGCTTGATTTTTACTTTTATTTTAGCTTGACATATGCAGACATGATTTACCCAACACAATACGGTCAACAGAAAGTTGGCTCCCGTTATTAAGTGATCACCTGTGCCCAAGTGACAGTGAATAACCAATAAGAAAAATCAAAGAAATAACGTTTCTACACGTTCCCTATCCCCTATGTATTGCATTATGTGCCATTCAACATATAGAAAATAGTAATTGTGTGAACAAGTGACGCATTTCCGCTGCAGCTTCAGCGTCTATTTATAGTAAAGCTGCACGATTCTGGATAAATTGAGAATCACAATTTTTTCTGTGTACAATGGAGATTGCGATTATCCCACAATTCAAAAAAAGAAAAAAGAAAAGACAATTAAACAAAATAACATGCAAACTAGAGGTTCTGACAAAATGTTCTTTGCTCTAGTCTATTTAAAAAATATATGAAATTGAACGGAATGATTACAAAATAATTTGTCTCGTCTCATTAGTCAACAATTAGTCAATGTCTCATTGATAAAAACTAAATTGTCTGTTCAAGCACAAAATGTGAAGGATAAAGCAATTTAGTATTTGCATGCTGTCAGACACTGCTTTCTGGGCGCTCACTTTCAATGACATGAGTACCGAATTGAGCTTTCTTTCGTATTTTCTTTACATTGGCAAGGCTTAATACATGTAAATGATAAACTTTCATGACAATGCAGCACTGGCCCGATCAGGACAGTGACTGTTCCGTCAACTCTTGCCGTTCGGGCAGTCCTTATTGTCGAGCCCTGCATTTAGGTCTAGAACGTCAGTTCATGTGTACGCCTCTTTCTTTCACATTGAGTTTGTGTGTGTGAGAGAAAGTACAGAAGGCTCTCTTGGCCAAGATTTCTTATAATTTACCATTCGCAAAGACCCTCCCACTTTAGTTTCTGTTGCTATGTCTGACAAGCCATGCCACTCTCATGCCACAAATCATGTTCTCACACAGTGAAAAATACATCTCGGAGCAAAGAGGACACTGACAACGCGCTGACAGACAAGACAGAGCAGGTTACTTTTTATATGAAACAAAGTATCAACTTTAAAACGTTGTAATTTTGTAAAGAAATTTAAACAATATATAACGTTTTGTATGCCAGGTTCAAGAGATGTGTTTATAGTCTAGATTTAAACTGACAGAGTATGTCTGCTTCCCGGACAATATTAGGAAGGCTGTTCCAGGTGCTACTAAATAGGAAAATGATCTACCGCCAGCAGTCGATTTTGATATTCTAAGTATTATCAACTGGCCAGAATTTTAAGATCGCAATAGACGTGAAGAATTATAATGCCTTTTTCAAGCACGTCAAAACTATATTATATACTATATTATAATATTATCATATTTAAATGATCTTTTTAATGTGTAGGAAAACTCACTTATTTAAAAATATTTTTCCTTTTAATATATATATATATATATATATATATATATATATATATATATATATATATATATATATATATATATATATATATATATATTTATTTATTTTTAACACAAGGAAATTTCTCTGGCATTTCTTTCTTTTTGCTGTATCGAAAACGTACCTAACCGTGACACCACTGTGACGTATGGAGCCGAACCATGAATTTTGTGAACCTACTTATTACAGATGTTGATCTACCTCAAAGTTTGCCTTGATTGTTCTACGTTAACACTTTTACATTGCACACATTTTGTAACATTTTATTTAAGTTCAAGGGTTTCTTTAACATTTACTTTTTTATCTTAATGTAAGACATAAAGAAGATATTTTTGGCTGAATTTGATAGATAATTATATAGATAAAAAAAAATAAAAAAACCTGTGGTTTAAATTCAAACTTTTCTACTTGTCTTTAAAAAAAAAGGTTATAAAAAATGTCAATAATTATCGAAACCGAACGTTATGAAACATTATATCGTGAAACATTTTTTTAGCTATATCGCACAGCCCTACTAAACCATTTAGTGCTTTGTAAGTAATCAGCAATATTTTAAAATGTATACGATGTTGAATAGGGAGCCAATGCAGTGTTGACAGAACCGGGCTAATGTGGTCATACTTCCTGGTTCATTATCTAATCTCATGTACACTTCATTTAGCCAAGGCTGCAAAGCCGTCTCCGTGTTACAAATATGTTAGACCTATCACTTCTGCCACTAAAGATTGCTTTATTAATAATATTCATGAACAGTTTCATCTCCTCAGCATCCCAGATAGATTAGAAGAACTCGATATTGCGACAGAAACTTTTGACTCTCTCTTTTCCAGCACTTTAGACACGGTTGCTCCTTTGCGCTTAAAGAAGATTAAAGAAAATAGTCCAAAGCCGTGGTACGATCGGGCCCTTAAAGGGTTAGTTCACCCAAAAATGAAAATGATGTCATTAATGACTTACCCTCATGTCGTTCCAAGCCCGTAAGACATCCATTCATCTTTGGAACACAGTTTAAGATATTTTAGATTTAGTCCGAGAGCTTTCTGTCCCTCCATTAAAAATGTATGTACGGTATACTGTCCTTGTCCAGAAAGGAAATAAAGACATCATCAAAGTAGTCCATGTGACATCAGTGGGTTAGTTAGAATGTTTTGAAGCATCGAAAATACATTTTGGTCCCAAAATAACAACAACTACGACTTTATTCAGCATTGTATTCTCTTCCAGTTCTGTTGTCAAACCGCGTTCAGTAATGCTGCTGACGTAAGACGCTGATGATGTTATGCTGAACCGCAATAAATAGATCTTAATTACGTCATATGTTCTCAATTAAAAATGCAGAACAATTAGTTCATGCGTTCATGACATCAAGGCTAGACTATTGTAATGCTCTACTGGGTGGTTGCCCTGCACGCTTAATAAACAAACTACAGCTGGTCCAAAATGCAGCCGCTAGAGTTCTTAACAGAACCAGGAAGTATGACCATATTAGCCCGGTTCTGTCAACACTGCATTGGCTCCCTATTAAACATCGTATACATTTTAAAATATTGCTGATTACTTACAAAGCACTAAATGGTTCACCTCCCCAGTACTTGAGCGAGCCCTGAACTCAATATATTCCTTCACGTCTATTGCGATCTCAAAATTCTGGCCAGTTGATAATACCTAGAATATCAAAATCGACTGCTGGCGGTAGATCCTTTTCCTATTTAGGACCAAAACTTTGGAACTGTCTTCCTAACATATTCTGGGAAGCAGACCCACTCTGTCAGTTTAAATCTAGACTAAAAACTAGGGGTGTCCATGGTTAACCGATTAACCGTTAAAAATTGCTTAACCGAGTGAAACATTTTGCTCGGTTAAGTGGCGTCAATGGCGTGCATTGAATTTAGTTGTAATACATTTTTGCACCACAAGAGACCGCCAGAGCGCTCCCATACATTTGTAATGTCCACAAGAAGTAGTCATGACCATTTTTTTAATATGAAGCGGGCAAAGAAAAGCACAGCGTGGGAGCGCTTTAAAATCGAGAATGACGGGGCAAAATGTAAGTATTGCAATGCAGTGCTTAGATATACTTCAAGTACAACCTCGTTGTTGTACAATCTCAACAGCCAACACCCGGGCATCATTATGGTCTGGTGTGTTCACACCGAACGCGAATAGAGTGTCAAATAACGTTACACGTCTATCGCGTCTAGCTTGAACATTCGCTCGAGTTCAAATTTTTCAACTTGCGCGGAAGACATTCGCGGCAAACGCGTCGCCCAATTTACGTCATTCGCAACGCCCGGCGCGAATGGTGCGTCTATTCGCGTCTTTGCATTTACTTTGTATGTAATCACTCGCGCATGTAATTAAATTCGCGTTCGGTTTGAACACACCATAACTGCTCTGTCCTTACCACTGCGTTTTATTTCTATAAATTAATTTTGTTTTAAATGTGGTCCAACCAGTTATTAAAGGTGTTAAAAATGAACTACCCCTTTCGCGTGTGTCTGTATCTCGGGGTTGCGGCGCGCACACTATGGTTAACCGAGTATTAACCGCTAAGGGCCTCGGTTAACGGTTAATGAAAAACTTGAAAATGTGCAGCCCTACTAAAAACACATCTCTTTGACCTGGCACACACATAACACATTATAAACTTATATAATTCAATGTTAGGCTGCATAGATTAGGTCAGCTGGAACCGGGAACACTTCCCATGAATCCTGATGTATTCATTACATCATAAGAAGAATGCCGTCTACGCTAATATTAGTCTCTCTGATTATCCTGAGGTTTACCGCAGTCCACCGTATCCAGACCTGATGAAGGACATGCGAAGGACATGCGCCTGGACATGACGACAACGCAGTCCTGAAATGTCAACTAGTCTGTCTCCTGTGAAGGCCTTCTTCCCTTCCCTTTACCTCTGTACAGATAAAACGTTGTCAAAATAATTCCAGTTCACATGGCTACGCGGAAGCGATAAACAATTCTGTATTATAAATTAAGGCCAGACAAGTAATTTGTTGAGGTCAATTTGTAAAGACTGATTACACGCCTGCACACATATATATATTAAATTGCGCATACCTATAGACTAAACACATAATACGCATGTGCACGCTGTCAGCGCTTTCACAGGTTCACGTTTTTGAAGTTTGCGCAGAGATTTTTTTTTTTTTTTTTTAAAGAGTTGCACCTTGGAACCTATTTCAAGGTTTGCGTTCTCGAGCCACCGGGCACTGTTGTGTGAATGAGCAGGCCGGAGCGCGTTAAAGGTTTTAGGACGGTGTCGTGTTAGCGGCCCCTAAGTTAATAACTAATTCACTTTAGCTGGACAATAATTTTATCCTAGAGCTGCTGTAAAGCTGAAACAATCTTTGTTACTTTAATTTCCTATTATCACTGTAAAGCTGCTTTGAAACAATCTATATTGTTAAAAGCGCTATATAAATAAGGTGACTTGACTTGACTTAATAAAATTTAGGTCTCTGAGTTGTTGCCATCTCTGAAAAGCTTTCTTCTTGGCAATGTACGTGACACCTAGGGCTGTGTATTGGCAACAAAGTCATGATACGATACGTATCCCGATACAGAGGCAACAATACGATATATACAGGGTTCTAAATTAACACCAAAATTTGCGGGTGTTAATAAAAACTTACTAGCCAGTTTGGCCGGTGATGCATAAGGTCTCTGTTCTCGGTCATTTATCCCCCTGGGAGTACTTCCTACATTTCCCATGAACACTGTGCCGTAATGCTACGTGATGACGTTTCATACGCCCATTGGCTGCGCGTGCGTGTAGTTTGCAGTGAAACCAGCGCGAGAAATGATCATGGAAATTGGAAACGAAAGGAGCGTACGCGTCCGTCCACCAGAAAACACAAGGAAGATGAAGAACGAGCCAGAGCAGGGAGCATAGACTGAAAGAGGAGGGAGGTAGTAAAGTAAAGTAAAAAGTTAAGATTAAACTAAATGCGGCGGTGGTTGGGACAGACTCCTGGGTTTAAATTTATATGTTGTTTAACGAGAGATACGTAATTTTTTTTTAAAAGGTTTTTGTCATTATTTCTGAACAAGCTTATACATTAGGCAATATACACAACAAGCTTACTATATATCTTAAGGTTTTCTTTTAGTTGAAAACATTAAACAATATGTGTGAAGAAAAAATATTAACAACAAAAGCATTTAAGCTCAAGCAGCGCAAACGAGGAAAAAACGCAAAAAGAAAAAAAGCAGCATATGATTATCATGTTCATGTTGAGAAAAACAATAATATCCACATGCTCGAGTGAGAAAACGCGCTGCGCTGACACAGACGTTGCAGAGACACGTGTGTGTGTGCAAAGTGAAGTAACAGCATGCGTTTTTCTGTTCTTAAACCTGTCTCCCTCAACGAAACTTAAAGGAAGCATATGTCTCAAAATCATTTTGCTACCAGAAGATATCGGGGTACAGCTGCTGACCTGCAGTCGTTAATGCAGTGATGGACAGCTGCTTCCTCAGTCGACTGGTGTTTTTTTGGATTTCATGTGATTTCTCATAGTGGTGGTGATATTATGATAACTCAGTTTAATTAATAATTGATTAACGTTATTCCATTACTTGGCTAGGCAGACAATGACATTATGTGATCAAATACAATCCACTTGTTAAACGCTCCACCCAGTGCATTTAATTATAACTGCGAAAAAAAATTTGAATAGTATTTTATTTTTTGAATAATAATTACAGATCAAAAATTCGAATATTCGTGCACATCCCTAATAGATAGATAGATAGATAGATCCCAAACTTGAAATGAAATGTTTGCACTTTCTGTGTTGTATTGTACTTTATATGTGTTTTCAGCCTGATCTCACGGCAATTCGTACGAATTTTACGAGGTGGCTTATTCGTACGAATTCATACGACCTCACTCGTACAAATTCATACGATTTTTGCTAATTCGTACATATTTTATGAGTTACCAAATTCATATGAATTCGTACGAATTACCTACCCCTGACCCCGCCCCTAAACCTACCCATCACGTAGACAAATCGTTCGAATTGTGCGAGTGAGGTCGTACGAATTCGTACGAATTAGCCACCTTTTAATCACTCGTACGAATTCGTACGAATTGGTCGTGAGATAGCGTTGTTGTTTTTCATGCCAACAATGTTAATAAAATGATCAAATGCATTCAGTGGCACTCATAATCTCTCTTATTTTCATGGGAAAAAAATTTGGCTAGTGAAAATTCTAAATGGTTGGTAACTTTAGAAAGTTACCAGCCACGTTGGCTGGTCATCAAAAAAGTAAATTTAGAACCCTGTATTTATACAATGCACCAGGGTTCTCAAGTCTCACGCATTGGCCGTGAGACACACGCAATTCAACCAGTTCACACGCTCACACGCCACACCGTGTATTTCTCTCGCTGAAAAGGCAATGCCAACCAAGTTGTCCTGCAAGCTTTATATATAACGTTGTATACGAGGCGCAGGCACACAAAGTGAAGTTTCCTGCTGCCAGCACGTATCTCTTGGCCAGATTGCGTTCGTTAGGCAACATAGACGCGCGTGAACACACCGAAGTTGACGGAACATTCTCGGCCACCGTACGTTCGTTACTAGGTAACCAACAACATCGCGCAAACACGCGTCGTGATGGAGAAGGGAAGAAAGCTTGTCTAACATTTTTAGGCTAGAACATTTAAAATTTAGCCCATCGTATACATTAGTATTAATGCAGTCAAAAACTCTACAACTACTTTGCAACCAGGCCAGAAGCTTTGGCTCAGTTTGGCTAGCTTACATTACCTGAAACTATAAGGGAAATGTTAGTGGGTATGGGAAGGAATGAAAATGTATTTCTTCATTTTATTTTAAATTAGCTATATATTATACTGTATTAATAGTCTTTCTAGTTACATTACGGCTACATGTATTAAAGCAGAGTGCTCTGGGTAATATTTTATATCCTGTCAAAACATTAATCATTGCCATTGCATTTGTATTTTTCAAAGATGTTAGGGAAAAAGCAAAAAGATATTTGTGTACACACACACACACACACACACACACACACACACACACACACACACACACAAACACCTTAATACTCTAATATGTCCATTTGTTCACAATGTCCCACCACACAATAAATCATTATACCATTTCGACACATTCAAAATGCAAAAAGATTTGTTTTTCCAAACTGTTTGGAGCAATTTGTTATATTTTTGTAATTTTTGTATATTTGTAATTTTGAAATATAACATTAAAGAGTAGGCTATATTTGATGTGACGAATTGCTCTGTCATTTATCAGATTTACCAATTGTTATTATTTCAATTTGTGCTGGTTAATTATGAACAATGGGTAAAATTGGGGGGCAGGGATGGGCGGGGCTCCATTGGGGCTCCTCCCCTAACCGCATGTGATCTCACTCCAAGCTTTTGATAAAACTTGAGAACCCTGAATGCACTAAACTTCAACTCAGCATAATTTAGTGTAACATTGCCAACTATGAAAACCAGGCATTTGCCCTCTGCATTATGAAGGGCCTCTGTAGCACTGTATAACAATATATTGATTTATGTCTGGTTCACTTTGTTGCAATCATATTACTAAAATTTTGAACATGTTACAACCTGACTTGTAAAATGCAGTTAATCAAACATATCTAATAGTTCTTACTACAAATCCTGTAATTTGTGCTGGTCATGTTTTAAAAATAATAATTGGATGATAAATGTACCAAATTCCAAATAATGCATAAAAATGATCAGACTTTCTACTATTATGTCAGGGTTCACTTGTCCTTTCCCGTTCACATTTCTCTCTTTGTTTTTATTATTATTATTATTTTATTTTTTTTACTTTCATTTTAGACCTGATAGAAGAGAACATGGCGATTGAAGAACCGTTTGAAGTGGGGGAGAAACATCATGTCAAAACTGAAGATAAATCCTCGAGTCCCTCATTGAAAAGATACAAATTATGTTTCACTTGCCCTGAGTGTGGAAAGAGTTTCCCATACAAGCAAAGTCTTGAACTTCACATTCGAATTCACACTGGAGAGAAGCCTTTCACATGTGGTCAATGTGGGAAGAGCTTCTCACAAAAAAAAACCTTTAACGAACACATGAGGATCCACACTGGAGAGAAGCCGTACACATGTGGTCAATGTGGGAAGAGTTTCACACAAAAAGGAAACCTTAACAAGCATATGAAAATCCACACTGGAGAGAAGCCGTACACATGCAATCAGTGTGGGAAGAGTTTCACACAAAAAGTAATCCTTAACGAACACATTAGAATCCACACTGGAGAAAAGCCGTACACATGTGATCACTGCGAGAAGATTTTCACAATAAAAAGAAACCTTAATGAACACATGAAAATCCACACCGGGGAGAAGCCATATGCATGTGATCAGTGTGATAAGAGTTTCACACAAAAAGGAACCCTAAAGGATCACTTGAAAATCCACACTGGAGAGAAGCCGTACGCATGTGATCAATGTGGGAAGAGTTTCACGCAAAAAAGACAGCTTAATGATCACATGAGAATCCACACTGGAGAGAAGCCGTATACCTGTGATCAATGTGGAAAGAGTTTCAGAAAATCAAGCGTCTTTAAAGTACATCTGCTTACTCATTCTAGAGAAAGACTACACAACTGTGACCAATGCAGTAAAACATTTTTTAGGGCAGATTTCCTAAAGGACCACCTGAAAGTTCATACAAAAGAGAAGCCTTACGTCTGTTATATATGCGAAAAGAGTTTTAGTCAGATGGGTGCATTAAAAATACACCAGAAAAAACACAGCGACGTGAAGGATCATATTTGTTCTGAGTGTGGAAAGACTTTTTTTACAGATGGTGCACTGAAAGTGCACCAGACTGTTCACACTACAGAGACACCTTACAAGTGTTCATACTGTGACAAGAGATTTAAACGGTCAGTATATCTGAAAATACATGAGAGGGTCCACACTGGAGAGAAGCCACATGCATGTGATCAGTGTGGGAAGAGCTTCACACTAAAAGGAAACCTTAACGTACACATGAAAACCCACACTGGAGAGAAGCCTTACACATGTGAAAAGTGTGGGAAGAGTTTTGCACATAAATCAACCCTTAACGAACACATGCAAATCCACACTGGAGAGAAGCCATACATATGTGATCAATGTAGGAAGAGTTTCACACGAAAAGAGCACCTTAATGAACACATGAAAATCCACATGGGAGAGAAGACACACACATGTGATCAGTGTGGGAAGAGTTTCGCACAAAAAGGAAACCTTAACGAACACATAAAAATCCACACTGGAGAGAAGCCGCACACATGTGATCAATGTGGGAAGAGTTTCACACATAAAGGAAACCTTAACGTACACATTAAAATCCACGCTGGAGTGAAGCCATACACATGATCCATATGGGAAGAGTTACAGAAAATCAAGTGTTTTTAAAGTACATCTGTGTACATATTTTTGAGAAAGACTATATAACTGACCAGTGCAGTAAAAAAAAAAAATCGGAGCATATTTGCTAAAGCACCATCTGAAATTTAATTCAAAGGAGAGGCCTTAAATCTGTTGTTTGTGTGGATAGAGTTTTAGTGAGCCGAGTGCTTTAAAATTACACCAGAAAAAAAAGACAGCAATGTGAAGGATCATGCACCAGACAGTTCACACTACAGAAATACCTTATAAGTGTTCACACTGTGACGAGATTTAAACGGTCAATATATCTGAAAATACATGAGGATTCACACTGGAGAGAAACTGTATCACTGCCATTGATGTGTAAAGAATCTTTCATTAAAAAAAAAGTAGTTTGAGTTCTGAACTTTTACTTCCATTTGTGATGCTGTCTAGTGCTGCATCCGAGATTTTGATAATCGATTAATCAAATATTATTAGAAAGATTAATCGACTGCTCATTGATTATTTCAGATAAATCAGGTTTATATATATATATGAAATAAATAAACCTTTTCATTTATTTCATATATTATGTATTTGATTTAATCAAAATTACTTTGCCACGCCAGAAACCTTCCCCCGCTGATCGGATGCCTCCATTGGGCCGATCGAGCACGAGTTTACAATTCACATGTGGATACACTGGCAAAGAAACTTAACATACTAACAAAAGAAACAACAAAAAAGGAAAACACAAAAGGGAAAAGAATACATAAACAATCAAAACGACTTAATATTTAAATCACAATTAATAATATTTAAAATCGTTCAAGCTGTTTTCAAGGAACCATGCAGACAGCAGGCGTGTCAATTTAATATAATAGCCCAAAAGACAAAAATGTCCAATAGTACTACGTATGTAATTTAGTCAAACGTAGGCTGAGTGTCCCTTTTCACATTTTTCCAGGTTTCTTAAAAGTGGAAGTCGTCATCGGGTAAACTAATATAGTAATATCACCTGGTAAATGAAGAGACTACATTATTTTTTATGCTCCCATTTGCTTAAATAGCTAAATAAAACTAAAACTGTTTTTTTTTTCACCACTTTAAAAAAGAAGAAAAAAAATAGAGAAAGATTGATAAAGACAGTCAGAAGAGAGAAAAATGTCAATATTACCACGTTTCCCCCACAGCCGTTGTATTAGAAACACCCTCACAGCAGCGCTAACTATTTTTTTTAATTATTTGATGCAAAGGTAATATAATACAAAGTATATTGTTATAAATGTACATACTTTTTTGTAGAACAAATCTAAAAAACTGCAGGATTTTCAATGCTCATGACATTTAAATCGCGTCATCACAGTCTGTGTGAAAAGGGTCCACCCGGGCGATAGGTGGCGGTAATGCACTTTGTGTCTGCGATCCGCCATAAAACAAGAAGAAGAAGAAGACGTCACCACTACCGCCATCACAGCGTTAGCCTTTTGAGCTAAGGTAAGCTGTCCACGGTGCTTCGTGTGTTTATACAATTATATGAAAAACGCACAGCTTGTTATAACAACATTTTACAGGGTTTTTTTCTGTAAGGTTTTCATCTGTTACAGATCTGTTTGTGCGTCTTTTTTGGCGTCTCGTGACTGACATAAACAGCCTAGCAGGCAACGATGTGAGGAACCAATGTTAAATTCATTAAAATCTGAGCGACTATTGTTTTTGCATGTTCGTCTTTATGATTGTTTCTATGTTTAGAGCAATAATGGTATTTACTGATATGACAGTTGATCAAAAGTCAAAGTATGTTCTTGTGAGTAGATAATATGAATAGATATTTTCTTTTGTTTGTTATTTTTAACATTAATATCTATTTCTGACACGTAGAGGCTTTTCAGCAGCTGTTGTTACTTTAAATCCATTACAAGAGGGAAGTCTGAATATGTAGATAAATGTGAAGAAAGGTTTACATTGTAAAGATAAAAATGCTGTTTTGTCATGCTCTTTAATTTTATTTAAAGAGCCGTTTCTGTTCCTAGAAAAAAACATTTTTATGATTTTTTTATGACAATGCAATAACTAGTTGTAAATTGAACTTTATTTAGGTTCATTGGACATATGCTGCTGTAAAGAAGTTATTATAACGTAAATTAAATCTCACTGCTAAGATTTAATAAGAGGGAATGTCACAATTAACAGCTGCTCAAAAGCCTCTTCAAGATAATAAGATTGACTCAGACAAAATATATAGATATGTAGAATGTGAACTTGTTTTAAAATGAATTAAATAACTTTATATTTGGATAGTTTGGTAGATAAACACAAACAGATGTTTTTGATTTTAACTGTTCTGCTCCTCCCACAGCGATTCACCAATAAATGCTGGAATATTCCCACCAGCCTACAAGTGAAGACGACAAAGTTTGTGAAAGAAAATTGAAAACATGAATGATCCAGAACCCTACCGAATAAAGGAGGAAGATACTGAAGAACAAATAGGTTGGTGTTTATTTTTTGATTCTTTAATATGGTTCTAATACTTTCATCAGATTCAGTGATTGCAGTTAGAATAATCATAACAACTTTGAAATAACTTGATTAACCTTTTCACACATAATTTTTAAATATTCTAGCTGAGTATCTTTATTATTTCCATGCCGAGGCGTCATGCTTGTCACGTGACACACCGCAGACTCAATAGAGCTGTATGACAGATGTATGGCTTTTAATTTTTCCTTTTTTATTAAAAATATTCACATTCTTGTAAACTAGATTTTGAAACATCTGATATTCCAATTGCCAAACACCTGTAAGTGAATGTGTTTTGTCGTTTAGATACCTTTTATAATGGTCATGTTAATTCTGTATTGCGTTATGGCCATCGCCATGTTTGTTCAGAGAATCGGATTTACAACATATTAGTTAATCTACTTCTCTCGAAATACATGAAACGGTGAACTGGGAGAAGAATAGGATAAACTTTACAGTTACCTACACAAAGTTTATCTGATATGAATAAAACACGGTCAAATTACAATGGAACAGTTTGTTATTGCCGCTAGCATAGACATCACTGTGTGTATTCCTTGATTAAATTAAAGTACTCAATTTTATAAAATCCTCGATTGCAATTTTCCCGTGTCGAGTAATGAACAAAACGCCAGAAGGGGTGTATTCTAGGCTTGCTATGATAGTCGGTGTTACCGGTGTTAGTGTTCAGTCAATCAAACTCCCTGCGAAGGATGAATTGACGCTAATTTAAAAGTGAAAGTGAAGTGCAGTGCACACTGTTGCACCCGCTTTTTATAAGCAATGTAAAAAAAAAAAAAAATTAACCCGGTATTACCGGTGATGTCACAAGTCGATTAACCGGTGGGAGAATATTATCACCGTCACATCTCTAGTGTATTACACGGACTAGAATCATTGAACCGCATTATTAGATTGTTTTCTAAGGCTGCACAATGTACTAAAACCGTTTAAAAACCATACTATAGCATAGTCCTCAGGGATGGAAATTAGCACCCGCCACCAGCCAAATGCGGGTGATTTTGTGTTGTGGCGGGTAAACTCGCTTCACCTACCGGCCACCGTGGCGGGTAAATAAAAATAGCATACTGTTTCACCCGGACGGCGGACACTTTTAGAGGAGGCACACCTTCAACACCCGCGCGCTGCTTCCGTCGAGGCTCGACCTTCTTTTACTGTCTATGGGCTCGACGAAGGAAGAAAACGTGGGTGCGCGAGAGGCGGTTTGCCGTTCAAAGGGAGAGCTAGCCGCGAGCGCATGGTGTATTTTTAGGGCGGGGTAGCTCTCGTGTGTCGTAAAGAGCTAGCCGCGCGAACATCTACCCGCGCGCTTCTTCCGTTGAGGCTTGAGCGCGAGAGGTGGGAGCTAGCCGCGAGCGCAAGATGTAAATGACAGAACAGGCATACCGTAAAACTTCAAATAATAGCCCGGGCTTTTATTTTCCCAAATCGTCGAACTGCACCGGCTTGTATTTGAGACAGGCCTTTATAATTTAGTGTTGAGATGTTGTTCCTAGAGTCTCTAATCACTAAAAATCCCCAAATGCTCCACGTGAAACTGCGGTCTTCCGACCTTTTACTATCGTGTCAATTGATTTTTATTAATATGCGCGAGGGAGAGAGAGCAAGACAGTGCTTGTGTTGTTTAAAGACGTGAGAGTGCGCGCGCGCGGCCGAGTCTCTCTCTTGCTCTGGTCGTTTGCGCCCTGTCAAGCGCAGCAGTCATTCTATTCTACATCACTCACCGATTAAAAAAGGCTTTGGGGGCGCCAAAAAGCGAGCGATCTGACGGGGTTTTAGAAGATTAAATACAACCCGAAATTAAATAAGCCTTTATTTACCCTGTCGCCACACCAGGCGTGTAAAAGAGACAGACTTCTATTTGGGACATGGCTATTATTTGAAGTTTTACGGTACTCTCGCAGAGAGAGCAACCTCCAGCATAGAGTGTGGTTTAGCATTGGTTCAGTTTTTTGTTTAAACTGCCCTACTCATTTAACGAAATGTATATCAGTTCATGGTTTGTGTGTATGTAAGAGAGAAAAAGAAAATGTCAGTATTTCATTGAGACTTGAGATTAAATAAACTGGTTAAGTATAGTAGATCTTGTAGTATTAATTTTCACATGCAGTTACACATTATCGGTTAAAAACAAGGAAGTGGCTGGTAAAAACATTGAGTGGCTAGTAGATTTTGAAATGTGGCCACTGTGGCTGGTGGACAAAAAAGTTAATTTCCATCCCTTATTTAGTGCTATTGTGAATAGGGCTGCAACAACTAATCGATAAAATCGATAATAATCGATTATGAAAATCGTTGTCAACGAATGTCATTATCGATTAGTTGGTCTGCTTACGTCACGGGGAGCGTTTACTGGTGATTGGTTGAAACAGGCCAATCAGGATGCTCTCTGTCTTACACGCGCTTCATGAGGCATACACACGCAAGTTCTCTCTCCCTCCGTTGCTCTGCCGCGCGCTCGCGCTACACGGTTTGGAGCACAGTCTCTTCTGTCTCGCATCCGCGGTCTTGCTTGCGCGCTCAAATCCCGGGAGTTTGAACTAATTTGCGAGCCGCT